GATTAAGGAAAAAAAGAAGATAAAAAAGGAACAAATGAAAAAAAAACAATGCCGGAACAAACAGACAGACAGACAGACCAACAGACAGACAAAAATTTTAAAAATTGTGTTTTTGTTATTAGTACAATATATATATTCATAATTATGAATTTAGTAAAAAGTTGTTATTTTAATATTATAAACAGACACTTTAATTTTATTTATTTGTATAAATGATATACCGTTATTGCAGTTTATAATAATACGAGTAAATAAGGCTTCTACTTTTGTTTGAAACTACCTGTTACCCGCAAGTTCGTCCGCGTGTAATTTAGGTTATTAATTTTTTTGCGCGGAATCCGATTTTTTTTCTTAAATGTAAGTAACCTAAGTTACTCTTTTAACATCAGCTATCTGTCAGTGAAAGTCCCATCAAAATCGCTCCAGCCGTTTCGGAGATTAGCTGGAACAAAGAGACAGACGAACGGACAGACAGACAAAAATTTAGAAAATCGTGATTTTGTTATAAGTGCCGTATATACTTTCACATGCATTTAGTGAAAAGCTGTTATTTTAAAATTACAAACAGGTACTCCAATTTTATTTATTTGTATGTATGTATAGAGTATAGATTATCCCAAATTAAATATGATTTATGGGCAACAACGTTTTTGCCTACCGATCAACCCTTAAGAATGTGTGCGTGAGCAGTAAAATCAGTAAAAATAATGCATTATCACGCATTTTGTATTTAAAAGGGACATAATGTTTCAGATTTTTGTAATTAATTTTTCTCTAATTTGCCTATATTACTTATTCTGAACCTTCTCTGCAAATTCGCCCGGTTATTGCAAAATAACCCTGTTTATCTATCGTATAATTGGTCTCTAGTTTTCGTTACTCAAAATTCCATATACGGAGCCATATTGCGCTCCAGCGTGGCTCTAACACGTGCATTACTTTGATTTTTCCCATATTCGCCTACTATTACATTTGCGATGTAAAATCGCATCGATTCTCTTAATAATCGCTTAAAGACAAGAAACACAACAATCAATAAAAAGGTGGACACAAACGTGCGTTTTGTTGATCGTTAATGGAGAGGGGATGATGAAAATTTTATCGTTTAATTTCTTTGCAAAGTATTCAAAATAATATATTCGTTAGAATATCAGCAATGGTGCCCATTTATGCGTAGTTTATAGTTGTATAGATGGATATAAGATTTAATTTTTTAATAATAACGTAGGTTTATATGATTTAATTTTAGATGTGGTAGTGCTAATTTGCAGCTATATTATGGTCGTAGCACAAATGAGTCGGCTCGACCGGAGTAGAACCACGCTCTCACAGAATACCAACGTAAAGTTGCAGCTTCATGCTGCTAAGTTTCATTTGATGAGAGTAGATAACCGGAGTCCCGTTCTACTGGAAACTAGGTCTTCCATCTTATATCTCGCGGGTGACAACGCATCTGTATTTTAAATGTAGATGTCTATGGGCGACTGCAACCAATTAATATCAGGTGGACTGAGTGCTGGTTTATCATGATTTTCTATAGAAAATAATAAATAAACATAATCTAATGATTTTCGTTTGCTAACGAGTCTTCGTTGCAAGTTTATTTAAATTTATTTACTTCTTTAACATTAAATATTACAATATATTTCAGGATATCGCCGGCAAAACTGTTAAAGAGTTTATTTGCAGAAACTGCTCTCGTTTACATTATTTATAACTGTTGTACATTTATTTGAAACCAAGTTACTTATCGGATGGTACGAAATTAGCGGATGGGGGCTAAGCGAGAAAGTCTGAGATTTTTCCGTCACGACCACTTCTAATGTAGTGTAGACGGCCTTGGCGGCTATAAGGAAGCGAGACAGAATAATATCCATCTCCCTCGCAATTTTTCTTATCTTGCTACGAAAGAAATATTATGTTATTTTATATGACGCTTCATTTTAATAGACGCTAGTAATTCATTTATTTGTGTTTGTTAATCAATAATATAATACGTTTATCATTAATAATATACTACGAAAGGAACTTCGTTCCAACCGAGTGTTCCACGACACTCACGGAATTTTTTTTAATAAATGTTTACTGATGTTTCCAGATATTTACAAACTAGTCACTGCTATGATACAGTTATCTATAATGGGTTCAGTGTCATGTAATTGCTTTGTCATAAAATAATCGTTATATATTAATTAATTGATTGAACTATCGATCCAAAATAATTGCGTAAAACATACATATCTTGTATTATACACACTGACAACCAAGCGATAAATTGTTTATTGTTTGGGTAGCGTCGAGTACTATTTACAAAGTAAATCACTATTATTTTGGCCTAACGTGTAATGGGTTAGCTTTATGACCTAATAAAAACTTCAATTAAAGTCATCATCATCATCATCATCACAGCCTGATTATGCAATTGTCAGTGATGACATAATATATGGATCAGCGACATGCCCCTTAACTGCTGGCTGAATAAGCTTAATGTCGCTCAAAGCTATTCTCGGAGTTCCTCTGCTTGATAAAATTTCTAATGAAAATATCAGCATAAAATGTAAATTGATGATTTTTCAAAAAAACAAAATCACTTAATACTTTTTGTCAACCAAAATCTTTAATTCCTTACCCGACGAGTTGAAAAATCTCCCATTGATCATTGAGATATTATGTACATAGTTCAATGCCAGAGAGATAGAGTTAAAAAACAAACTTCATGAACGGTTTTTACTTAATTGTTTTTATACCATACATGAGTATATTGATCATAAAAATCAAAACATATTATATATTTAAATACCTAAAACATTTAAATATGAAAAATGGTAAATAAAATAGGACATTCATAGTTATAGAATAATTATTATTCGGTATTTTTTTTCTGTATTTACCTACATATGAAATTTTATATTTTGATTACGCTCGATTGTGAGACATTATTCCTTCTGAATCTTTTGGCATTTTTATCTATATTTGGACACATAAAAAATAACATTTATCAAATATAAATAAAAAATATTAATTTAAAATTTGCACCCCTGTATTAGAATGTAATGGAATTTATATAATGTAATAATAACCTTATAACACCTGCATTCAATGCAAATAAATAATTATGAATTATGAAAAAGAGTAACTGACATAGCCCAATGATTCAGTAAGCTTATGTGGCATGAAGGCAGCCATAGCTTGAAGAACCGACACCCATGTGTTGTATCGATGAAAGGTAAAGGGGCCACGTATCTGTAAGCAAAGTGAAAGGCGGCCTCCACTAGGTGTAGTGACGACCTGGTAAGACATGCAATATGTCGATGGATGAAATGGCTCAGGAAGGTGTTTTGTGGCCTTGATGATGATGATGATGATGATGGTCGTTAAATAGCGTAACTTCTAGAGTGTTAAGATAAAACCTTCTACTCAACTAACAGTATAATATTATAAAATTACAAAGAATAAATGTTATTTACTCCCATTTATTGCATAAAACATACGTCAAACTGCGACACAAAATAAATTTGTATGTGTAAATTGGTACAAACCTAAATGACAAACACGTTGTATCTATAGTCGGTCTATATTTAACTGTACTTATTAAAAGTTCTGAAACGATACTATTATTAGTCTTGCATCATTTGAAGGTAGGACTCCTTTTGCCCGCTTGGGTTAAAGCCCCGACTTCAAAATGTGATTTTTTTTTGTTTTTGAAGTCGGCGTTTTCTTTTTAATAAAAATATCATTTTGGTCATGTAGAAAGAATGAACGAGGAAAGAGTGACAAAGCAAATTTATGTTGCAGAAGTGAACGGCAGAGTCGAAAAGAAACGCCCTAGACGAAGGTTTATCGACTAAATCGGCAATACATTGAAAATCGGCCAGATTAGGAGTACCCTTAACCGACGAGCGTGTATGCGTAGATATGTAAAGGAGGCGAGGGAGGTGTGTCAGGATGTGTGTGTAAAAATAACTTTTTCTCTATTGTAACAAAAAACTGAGGATGTTTCAAGATTTTTATCTAAAATGGCTAGGTTTTAAAAAAATAACGGTTTATTAAAGTATACTTGTCAAAAACCCTTTAAAATTGTGACAATATGTATCATGAGTGATTTTGAAATCTGACTGATTAACTTCTATTATTACCAAAATTAATATAAATTATACTGATATTATTTGGGTGCCCAAGTAAGTACCTGTAAACACACTCACACTATCAAGTTGGCATGTAAGGAAAATATTAAGTCATGGTGATTTTGAAACTCTTTCGATATTGTTAATTTTTAAACCCTATTCTGCTATTAAGAGATCTTAGTGATATGTTTTTTTTTTTTAATAAAAACGCATGAAATTTATTGACCCTTATTCCAAATGACACCATAAAGGAGGCGACATGAAGTGAGACTAATGTCTAGTGACCTAAAAATCAAATTGTCTTGCATGTCAAGTTGTTTTAAGAATCTTGGTTTTACTTATTTATAACATACGATTATTTCTTACTAGGTAGGTGATATTGGTAGGTGGTTACAAGGTGGGAGGACTCCTTTTCTTCCTGGTAGTTCATCTGGGTAGATACCAACCTCTTACTTATTTCTGTCGCCTTAATTAGCAGTACTTGCACTGCTGCATTCCGTTCCCAGGGATAGTAAGCCAGTACAATTAAAGGGCTGAGCTGCATTCCATCATGTCCCTCATAGACCGCATCTGTAACCTTCTCCGTTGAAGTTTATTGCAGATTTATATGGGCTGCAATATTTTTTTACTGTAACCGGTGGACTGTTTGTTTGTAACTGTAGTTTTACTAAACATTTTTTTTATATACTGTTCTCTTTTAGATACTGTTTTCCTTGTCAATGTTTGGATTTATTTTAATTATAAACCAGTTTTTGCGAATGAAAAATGGAACCAGCTCCGAATATGAACAATGCATAAAAATAATTTTAAACTTGCACTAATTTAGTAAATTATTGCTATGTAGTTATAAATAATAAAGGAAATATAAATCTTTACCTATGAGTGGTCCAACGATGAACATGTATGCCAACATGATTAGTACGATTTGTAAACGCCGAGAACCCTGGCGAGATTTGAAGACAACATTCACTGACGCGCTCAAGTCCCGAATCGAAAACATCGACAATATTGTGTCTGAATTTTTATTATCAATTGACTTTTTCGGCATTTGTTTCAATCTCAAGATAATGTAAATAAACCCAGTCAGATATAAAACGCACGCAGTTGAAAAAACACCATAATAGCCGAAACGATTTGTCATTATCCCACTAAGAGCCAAGCCTACGGGCCTAGCTAGAGTCAATATGGCCGTTATGATACCTAAACGATGAGTCCGTTCGGATTCACTCGTAATGTCCGTAATGTAGCTGTACGCTGTCATTGTCATGGCGACACGGCCTCCAGCTAGTGCAGGCGGAAGACCATCGATCAGGGCAGTCTCATTCACACCAACACTGAAGAAGAAAACTGTACTCAGTATTATCCCAAAAACTGATATTAACTTTCCCAATATAGGCAATACCATAAAGGTTTTTCGGTCTCCGGTGCGATCGCTCCACGCACCCACAAAAAGGTTTAATAAGCCAGGTAGAGCAGTTTGTACAGGAAAGCACCAGGCAGTCACAGTTGCTACCATTCTCTGAACATTTTTCTCTTGCTCTGTATAATTCTGAGTTCGTCCCTGCATTATATGAGTGCAGGTATGCTGGTCGTACTGGAGATTTACAAGACATGATTTCTCTAAAGCCAGATTCTGTACAGCTAATCCTGTAAGAACACTTGGTAAAACGTAACAAAGAACGTACGGTTCTACTGTTATGTTCCTTCTTATCGCCCATGTGTCTTTTATGAATTCTTTTAATCTTCGACTTAACTTCGTTTCAGTTGTATCAATATCTGTGCAGTAAGTTTTGTTGTACTTGCATGAATCTATATTCGCGATTTTGTCCCCGGACACTTCGACCCGTAACGTCATTTTGGCAAAGATATCCCACCTTAAAGTTCATTTGATTTTAAAATCCACATTAAAATATTTTTTAAATTAAAAATTTGTAAAATTGTGCTTCTATTGAATTTATATCTATTATTTAAACTATTTTTTTTTTTCACTTTTAATCTCAACTATTAAAAACGGACGGTTAGTGCGCGTGAGTGTTGTATTCGGCTTCACCTCGGATACTGCCTATCAGCTAGCCGCTGGTACTTTTTAATTTGTACTTTAGCACAATATCACTTGGTAGGGCTAAGCACATAATGATATATCCATAAACTTCAATTAAATCGCTGTGGTTCGCTTTAGAATGTATATAGTTATTGTAATAGGTAAAATATATACAAGTATTTTTATGTTTCGAAAGAAATATTACTATTAATGTTTTTAGTTAATTTTATCAACATATTGCAATATTATAACAGAAGTGTTCATAATATATGTTCTGGTTAAAAGCGGAAATACAGACATATCTAGGTTTAGCCGATTACAATTAGGTGCAGTCAAATGCGGTTAGTTAAAGGAGATGTATGAAAGTGAGTGCTTGACATCGTTCGTAACAGTTATTAAAAATATGTATGTAATATAACGATAAATAATAAGCATAGTTAAATGGCTTCTATTTCTATAATGTATGGGACAATCATCAAAACATTTTTTAAACTGAAAAACGAAAGTTAATGCTTTTACCATAGCAAAACAAAACGTTTTTTTAATATTTTTATGTATTTCGTCTATGGCGTTAGATAATGAAGGCTATTATTTGTAATAAATAGCCTTCAGTATCAAAAAAAAACTCATAATATTGAAACATATTAATACTGAATAAAAGAAATCTATTTAGAAAATCGATTGAATAAGCTACGTTATTAAACTAAACAAAATATTAAGCTATGTTATTAAACTAAACAAAATATTAATTTATATATTATTAATAACTACCTGTGTTAGGGTTTTTATGTTTTTGCGCGGAATCCTAATTCTTTTTCTAAAATAAAAGTAGCTTAAGTTACTCCTTATGAAATCAGCTCTCTAGCAATGAAAGTCCCGTCAAAATCGGTTTAGCCGTTTCGGAGATGAGCCGGAACAAACAGACAAACAAACAAACAGAGTAAAAAACTGTAATTTTAACATTACAAACAGACCCTTCAATTTTATGTATTTATTGATATCGGATAGGATTTAATAGGCTGTATGATCGTTGATCACTGCCTGTTTCGAAAGAGACTTAACTTGGTAACTTCGAGCTCTCGTCAGAGAGTAGTATGCACGGGCAGTAATCTTCATAGAGAAAATACTGGACATGGGAAACGTCATAGCAAGATGATATATGACAGCTAACATGGCCCCCCGCCTCCCGGCATCCTTCTAAGCATGGAGTGTAGAGTAGACTACTCTATACTCCATGCTTCTAAGCTCAATTGCAAGCTGTCGCAGATATATTGTTTTTGTTTGTTATATCATTGTCACAGCACTGAGTGATATATTTGATCCACCACATTTAATGAAAGGAATGCGCAACAATTTTTAACGAAAAATTTACAATACCAAGAAAAGATTTCTACATGGACAGATAAGAAAGATTGTGAACATACAGAATCACGGTTATTACACAAACTTAACGAGAAACATGTTATTCCTGGAAAAGAAAAATAAGGTATAAAATAATTGTAATTTTACTTCAATTACGTGTAATTTAATTTTGTACGTGTAATACTCGTTTCGCTAATCAAATTGTTATGAATTATTTAGAGGTTGAAAATTATGTTCCTGTATTTAGTAAAACCACAGTATAATAAACATATATAGGATTTATAGACTGTGGTAAAACTGTGGAAGGACCCTTTAATTATACCTCTACATTTTGTAAGTTATAATTATTACTTTATTAAATATATTAATACATAGCACCATAAAACTGAAGTATTTTACATGGCTAGTGGTGAGAACCAGATACCTTTTTACTGATAACAAGGCATTTTTTTATCTTCAAGGATGACAATGCATTTTGATACTTAATTGAGGATTAATGTAGGTGTCTGTTGGCCGCAGCACAGCACAGCAGTAACTTAAAAATATTGTATAGAGTACGTAATGATATATTATTTAATAATATTTCAAATATATATTACAGCTCATTATTCGGATGTGCGACCAGTGAACAAAACAGAAAGATACTGCAGAAATATCATCTTTCATGGATGACCTTTTTGACAGTGTGAAAAATATTTTTACACAGTGGTAGAGCCACGCGGTAGCTTTTGCTGTCGCACGGATGGGCCGGCCCGAACCGGGGTGGTACCACGACCTCACAGAAAACCAGCGTGAAGTAGAGGTTTACCTCTGCGTTTTGCTTGGTGAGTGCAGGTGGCCGGAGGCCCTTTTTACTGGAAATGAGGCATTCCATCTTAGTCCTCACGGGTGACAACGCATCTACATTTTGATTTGTAATAAAGGATAGATGTAGATGTCTATGGGCCGCAGCAACCACTTACCATCAGGTGGACTGTGTGCTCGTTTGTCACCCTTATCCTATAAAAAAAAAAAGAAGTGGGAAAGATTTATCAATTTTGGCATTCTGGCTGCAAGCTTTGTTGAAACTACAAAATTTAAAATTTGTTAATAATAATGTACAGTACCCAGTGTAAAGAACTGAATGTGTACTGCATCATTAAAAGTTTTATGAAATTGTGGCAGTTTTTGTCCAAGAAAAATATAAATATTATGAGACCCCGCTATATAAATTTGGATGCAATTGATAACTTTTTCGGTCAAATGATGTCCCGAAAATTGTATGATATACAATTTTCGGGACCATAACCCGACTTGCCACTATTTCATAAATGCTTTTAAATCTTTATTAAATACAGAACTCTTTAAGAATTACCGCTCATCTTTTAATTGTGAAGATGATGTTAGTGCAAAATAATTAAAAATAATGAGCCTGTTTAAAAGACATGAAAGGGAAGTGAGTAATGAAAGTGGTAAAATTGGTGAATATTATACTGTAAACAAAATTATTGTAAACTTCAAATGAGCACTGAATAATAATAATTAAGTTATAGTTTTTTAATCATGTATATATTAATAAGATATTTATTAAATTTGTAAACAAATTTATTGTGAAGTAAATATTAATGACTAATAAAAAAATAGTAAATTTCAACATTGTTTCATTTGTATTTACCTCGTTTTATTTTCAATATAATAAAATTAATTTTTCATTGCCTGGTATATCTGCTTCAAATAAAAAAAAAAGAAATGTCATATATCATTTTGCTATAACCAATCAGGACGCATAAGCTACGTCGAGTAAGTTTAGTTCGTGAGATGGCCGTCAGCAAAGAGAATATAACCACTACGTTTACCCGTCAGATCGGTTAGAATCTACTAGTTAGTCTGTGGTAGTATGTTCCTTCACTTCGAGTTTAAAAATAAACTTGTCATGCGCATTTAGCATTGTGGATGTGTTTGTGGATTTATTTCATCTTTTTATTTTCGTGAATTAATTTAACTTGACCTTGGCTTTTCTCTCGATTTACAGAACAGTAGGTTGATGCGGCCACATAATGACAATAATATGTTACTTGGGTTATGAGAGGAATAGAACAAATAATGTACAGACTCAGGTTACTTTTCTAGATGACATTTTATTAACCGATTCGTTGCGGCGCCGATTTTCGACAACTTTTAGCTGTGGCGGCGAACAAATATTTCATGACACGCCTATTGCGCCATTAGCCATGTGTTAAAGTAATGTTCTTTTTTTGCTTTTTTCACTTATTTAGACCTAATTAAGCTCAGTTGACATCAAACATCAGTTACAAACGGCAGGATACTTGTTTTTAGTGGGTGTTTTTCTACGTGTTTTCTTTGAAATTGAGAGTAAGTGACTTTTTTTATGCAGAGATTACAAAACTTTTGTACAATTTTTTGTATTTATAAAAAAATCGTTTATATAAGTTGGTACAGCTTAATCACCCTGGAATATCTTGGTTTTTATTAAATTAAATTTTCACCTAATAATAATATTTGTAAATATCAAACAATCAAAAACCTTAATTTGGAAAAAAATAAGGTTTATGATTCATTAATATTTACAAATGTTAAATATTATTTAATGTTATACAAATGTAAAAGTAAAGTCGATTTGAAAAAGTTAGTAAGAAAAGCAAAACAAGTGTTTTCAAAAGGAAACAAACGCCGGTGGTATACGGCGGCGGATTGACAAAAGACTATTTATTAGCGACCTTTTTTTATGCATGAACGGTTTCAAACTGTTTCAAGCAAAAATAAACCTTATACCATATCACAAGAGCACATGGTACTTCGTAGGTCTATTCGGCCATATGATATTAATAAGACGGCATTTCAACCATTTAAGCAAAATTAAACAATAAGACAAACGCATTGTTTTTTTTTTAACAGGAGACTTGTTTTTGATGAAATTTATTTACAACTTGAGTTTGTGAGTGATCGCAATGAGTGCTATTATTTGTTACTTATTAGACTATTTTTCCACAACATGATTGAAAACCCACAAAGTAAAAAGAGTACCATGTACAAGTTAAAAAATGGTTGTACACCCCTAAAAGTTTCAAAATTTAAAAATATCCAGAAACGAAGCCGCAGGCATGAACTACCTACTTGAAAAATAATGAATATTTTGTTCTGGATAAATTTTCCAAAACCTTAATTTGAGAGAGTTATAACGATTTTTAAAAATACACGTTTCGTGTGTCATACGCCACACACAAAAGTATCCGATGACACGCCTGGCGTGTCCGCACGGAACCGGTTAATACTTGCAGAAAATAATTAAACAATTAGAAGAGTTTGAGTTGTATTTTATTGTATCTTATTTAACTTTATTTAATAATAACTAAAAACGTCATCCTCTAACGTTTTTTTCAATTTATTAAAACAGGTTATGGCTTAGCTTTCCATTGACGTCCGTCGAGTTGGGTGTTGATACGTATTTTTAC